TGGGCATGGTGGTGCACACCTGTAATTCCAATACTCGGGAGGTTGAGACAGGAGGATTGCCATGAGTTCAAGGCCAGCTTGGGGTACATAGAGAGTTCAAGGCCAGTCTGAACTGCATAGCAAGACCCTGTCTCAAAGAATTTTAAAAAGAGGAAAAATATGGTGTACATCCATCTGAAATAAATGTATGTCCACTCTGTAGAAGTCTCTTTCCAGTCACAGTGATCAGGGCAGGAAGGATGGAGGGACATATGAACTGGTGGTGATAGGTTGTAGGTGTATTTGTGGTGGGGGGTGATTGGTTTGGGTCTTGCTTCACCTATGTCACTATGAGTCTTGTTACTGGTATAAGCCTATACATGACAATAGCAGTTACCGACTGTCATAGGCTGCACTGTATTTTCCAGAATCGATCACCTTTATATTTGTTTGGAGGGGTGAAAAGAATGATTTTGTTGGTAGAAGATGCAGAGGGTAGAAGTCAAAGGAATTCCATCTGCAACTCACACCCCTAGGTAGTATCTGTCGCATCACAGTGTAGACATTAGACAACTACTCCTCTTGTCCCTGGATTCACCTCCTGGATAGATCTGACCCTCCCACTGTCTCATAACCCAGAGTACCCAGGATGTCAGGCTGTTTTCATTTTATAAAAATGCCAGAAAAAATTGGAACTAAATGTGAAACTTGAATGCTTACACTGGAAATTTAGAGGAAAAGTCAGTGGTTTATAGGTATAGGTGGATTCTAAGGTCTCTGATGTCCCTTCTCAGGGACAGGTGGTCTTCACTGATTGGGTTTCCTGGACATGGACCCCGTGATGAAGAACTGATGCATAGGCTGTTTGAAAGGAGCACAGTGAGCCCCATGAGGTGGCAGTCGAAGATTCAGCATCTCTACAGGGTACTCTTTAGCTGGAGGCTTTTCAGGGCATCCTAAATTAAGGTAAGGCCTTGAGTTTATGGTCTCACACAGTCAAAGAATTGAACCTCTCTGAGAAGGGACATAATCCTGGGTAGGTTGCTTACTGAACAAAAGCAGTTTCCAATGAGGGTACCACCAAGGATCTGCCAGAACTCTGGGCTTCAGTGGATGGGTTGGTCCAGAAGAAGGGTCTAGGTGGACCCATTACACTGATTGTTCTGTTAAAGATATGAGGCTGCCACAGGAGCCAAGGGCTTCAGGAGCTGAGATGAGTTTAGCAATTCTAGGGACTAATACACAGAGACCCAGGCACTACTATATGCAAATGCATGAACAATGATGATGAATACACGTCTTCATCTATTTGTTTTTCCATTTAGATCTTCCTTCTCTCCTCACTCCCTGCTTTAGAAGACACCACAGTCAGCTCTCTTGAGATTTGTGTGAGCTGGGAGTGTTACTCTCTTACGTTTGTCTCTAGTCCTTTTGGAGCTGGAGGACGAGTATAACAGATGGGTAAGGGGTTTGTGTCTCACTTTCCTATCTGTCAATATCACTGTGCCATCAGTAGCATTCTGTCTACTGACTGGTAGTAATAGCCTTGTCCTCAGCCTGGTTTCCACTGATAATCAGAGTGACAGTTGTCCCTGAGCTGGAGCCAGAAACATTTCTCAGAGATCTCTGAGGATCACATGGTATCATCATAGATGATCTTTTTCATTACTAATTACATTTATGTGAGTTTTTTCTCTCCTCCTTTTGGTAAATTTGGCTAAGGGTTTGTCTATTTTGTTTATTATTTCAAAGAACCAGCTCTTTGATTAATTGACTCTTTGAAGTCAATTATCAAGTATTGATAATTATAAAGTATTTTTAGTCTCAATTTCCTTAATTTCCATTCTGATCTTTATGATTTCTCTCCTTAAACTAGGTTTGGACTGTTCTTGATTTTTTAGTATCCTGAGGTGCATCATTAAGTTATTTATTTGAGCTCACTCTGTTTTTGTAATGTGAGCATTGACAGCAATGAACTGGCCTTTTAGGGTGGTGTTCATTTTGTCCCACAGGGTTTTGTATGTTGTGGTCGCATTATCATTAGAGTCTAGGACTGGTTTCATTTCTTTCTAGGTTTTTTTTTTGTGTGTGTGTCCCAGTGGGTATTCATGAATGTGTATTTAATATCCAGATGCTTGTAAAGATTTTGTAGTTTTTTTGTGATTGTTTTCTAGTTTCTTGTACTATGAGCTAATCATATGCATGCAATATTTTAATTATTTTGCACTTACCTAAGCATGCTTTATGGGTTAGCATGTGGTCTATTTTGGAGAAAGTTCTATGTACTACTGAAAAGAATATGTACTTTGTTGTAGTGAGGTAGAACACTCTGTAGATATATATTAAATCTATTTCTTCTAAGGTGTGGCTCATCCCTGATGTTTATTTTTTGTTTAGTTCACCTGCATATTTGTGAAGGTAGGGTATTGAAGTCAACCACTATGATTTTGTGTTGGTGTATACTTGATCTTTTATATCAAATAATGTTTGTTTTTTGAAGATAGATGCACTATTTGATAAATATATTTTAAAAGTTGTTATCTGTTCCCATTAAATTGTTCCTTTTATTAATATATAGTGACCATCTTTGCTGCTTCTGATCAGTTTTAGCTTAAAGTTTACTTTTGATAAAATTACTTCTTCTGTTTGTGTTGGGGTCCAGTTACATGGAATGTTGTTTTCCTTCTGGTGGTTTTTAGACTATGAATTTCTTTTCATGTTAAATGAATCTCTCAATCGTGACAGATTGTTGGGTTTTGATCCAGTCTGCCAATCTGTGCCTTAATTTGGGTGTCATGGCATTTATATTGAGGGTTGTTATGGAGACACATTGATTTATTCCTGTCATTGCATTCTTTTCTTGTTAACTCATTTATTTTTCCCTTTTTGCTTAACAGTTCATCTTATTGATGTACACATTTCATGTGACTTCATTGTCTTTGTCTAGAATATTATTGAGTATTTTATAGAGTACTGGTTTGGTATTGAAAAATCTCTTAAGGTGTTCTTTGTCATGGAAAAACCTTATTTCCCCATCAATTCTGAAGGAGAATTTTGAAGGTTATAATAGTCTGGATTTCAAGGGTTTTGTTGTTGTTTTGCTCAAAATACTTCATGCTCTCCTGGACTTTAAAGTTTATGTCGGCAAGTTTGCTATAATACTAATGAGTTTACCTTTAGAAGTGAATTTTTTTGCTTTTCTATGATTATTTTTGCTTTTAAGATTCTGTGTTTTTGTTGGAGATGTGCAATTTTGTGCAATGTGTCATGGGGTGCTTCTTTTTTATCATTTGTCACTCTATAAGCCTGGCTTACCTGCATAATAAATTCTTTCCTCATACTTGGAAAGTTTTCTGCAGACAGATTCTTTAGTCCATGTGTTCTGTGTTCTAGTTTCTCTCTAACTCTAATTAGCCTTAGTTTAGTCTTTTTAGCTTCATTTATTAGCTGATGGATGAATTTTTCTTGAGGCTTCTTTGAGTAAATAAACACATACTATGATATTTTGTCCTCAATTTCCAGAAAAATATCTTCACATTGGTTATCTCTGCTCTTTATGAATTCTATAGAATTCTTTATCTTTGGGGTGTCAGTTTAACACTTTTTCACAGAGTCTATATCTTTTACAAATTTTTCATTCATGTTTTGATCCATTTTTGTTAGTTCTTCCATATTTTGTTTCTCTCATGACCACACTGATCATTTTGTATGATAGCTCCACTACCTTTTGGGTTCTGTTATCTTTTAACTCAATGAGCTTCTTTACTTCCTCTTTAATCATTTCATATAGTTTTGTCCATAACTTAATAATGCATCTCAAGGTTCTAGAAATACAAGAATAATCCAAACCCAATACACTGGAAAAAAGATATCCTTTTTAAAACAAAAAGTGCTGGGAAAACTGGTTATCCATATGCAGAGAAATGAATCTCAATTATATTTCTCATTCTATACTAAAGTCAAATCAAAATAGGTCAAAGATCTATATAGAAAAAGATACAATACATTTTCTGGAAGAAAATTTAAATTTTTCTGGAAGAAAAATTGTTAAAACTCTTGAAGACATAGGCAAGGACTTCCTGAATAGAATCCCGGTTGTACAAGAAATAATATTGAGTCAACAAATGGGATTATATCAAGTTAAAAACCTTCTCGTAGGGCCAGTAATCATTAATCTTGCAAAGAACTTGCTCAAATGGGAAGGGGCACAAGGGAGGGAGGAGGGGGTAAGAAAAAAAGGGGAAAGAGATTTAACAGAGAGAGAATGGAAGGGAAAATGGAAGCAGAGCTTTTGTAAATGGGGAGGAAAAGAAGAGGTGAGGGGAATAGAAAAAAAGAATTAAGAAATATTATGTACTGGTATAAATTCTTCATAATGAATGTTATCATCATGTATGGTAAACATATACTAACAAAACAACAACAACAACAGCAAAATCTCTTCTGGACAGCAAAAGAAACAACAAAACAGAGTGAAGGAACAATGCACAGAACGGAAAAAAATTTGCTAGCTACTCCTCAGACGAAGGGCTAGTATCTAGAATATAAATAACTAAAAATCTTTAGACCCCACCAAAGAAAAAGACCCATTCAAAATGGGCAATTAAAATGAATAGATACTTCTTAGGAGTGTACAAATAGCCAATAAATACATAAGAAATTTTCAACCTTTCTGACCATTAGAGAAATGCCAATTAACAATGAGACTTCATCTCACTCTTGTAAGCATGACCACTACCAAAGACTCAAAGAACAACAAATGCTGTTGAGCTTTTAGGGGGAAAGGAATACTTCTGCATTGTTGGTGGGAATGTAAACTGGTACAAACATTTTGAAAATCAGTATGGAGAATTCCTCAAAAGACTAAACATAGAAATTCCATTGGACTCAGCTATATCTCTCCTGAGTACAAATCTTCCTGAAAGAGCTAAAGTCATCACACTACAGAAATTCATGCTACCCATGTTTACAGCCACACAGGTTACAATAGCTAAATCTTGGAAATGACCTATATGCTCACCAAAAGGTGAATGAATAAAGAAAATGTGCCATATATACATAACGGAGTACTATTCAGCCATAAAGAAGGATGAATTTGAGTCATTTGTAGGAAAATGGATGCACCAAGACCATAATGCTAAGTGAAATAGGTCAGACACAGAAGGTTAAATATTTCATGGTTTCTGTAGTATGAAAGACCAAAATATAAATAAAAAGGAAAAAAAAGCCATGTTAAGAAACTCAGATGTAGACTCTATAGAAATGGGAAGGAGAGGAGGAGCCTTCTGGGCAGCCATAATACTGCTCCCAGGGCCAAGAAGCAGAGCTTCCCCCAGCTCTGAGGAGATGAGCTGGGCAGGCGCCAGCAGCACACACCTCTACCCCCTCCCATTGAAATGAGAAGACACATAAAAAAATCTCAAAACCAGACTTCCATATTACCTACAGCAACCCCAAAGGGAAACGAGATGGAACAATCTGATACTCAACCACTTGGATTCCCTGAACTGGCAACAAAAAAGAATCTGGAAAAAATGAAATCAGAAATAATTTCTCAGATAACAGCACAGATTGTATCCATAGGGCAAAACATGATTAATAAATCTAGAGAGGACACAGATTAAAAAACACACAGGAGCTAAGGAATATGATGGAATCTCAACATAGGAAACAAATGGAATCCACAAAACAGATGCAAACAGATTTCCAAGAGATTAAAAACTCCACCAAAAGTTTATGCAGCAGAATGAGCCAATGTGAAGATAGAATTTCAGATATAGAAGATAAGATTGCAATTAGTAACCAGGAAAAGAAAAATTTCTTTAAAATACTAAGGGACCACAATAAATCAATCCAGCAGCTGCTAGACAATGCAAAGAAGAATAGCATAAGACTGATCAGAGTCAGTGAAGAAACAGGAGGGAGTACAAACAACAACAACAAAAAATTCACAGAAGTAATGGCAG